CATCTAGGCACTCCTAGCAGTTCCTTCGAATTAATTTAAAAGGTAAATCCCCACAATTTCAAAGGCCTTCGAATACTTCATTTATACATAGCCGAATTATTGACAATAAGCAGCTTTAAAACTGATCTTTCTGTTTGAAAACTTTCTATGTACTCATTAACCTCGAAATTGATTGGAGTAGTGATTTACCTCAGTCCAAAGAAACATCATATTATTCTAGTTCTAAACACTGTAGTAATCACATACCTCTATCATTATAAATTATTATTGGTCCCTTGGGTTCCTGATGGAACATAGAGCTTCAGTAGCACGTCTCCATTCCACTCTCTTCTCCGCAATCTTTTGAACCTGGCTCCATGACTGAACACAACCTCTCATTTCCTCCTCGCACCATCTCCTCCATGTCACCCTCGTCTCCGACGCACAACTCGTCGCTTCACATCAGGGTTCCACTCGAGTGCCTGGTCTCGCGTATGACGTCGCCAATCGGCCTTCTCAGAGTATGCCCATTCCATCTACACTTCCTTCCAATGCATATTTATTCAGCAATAGCTTCTCGCTTCGTTGGTTCGTTCCCACAGCTCCTTGTTGCTTATTCTTTCTGACCATATGAGCTTCAGTAACGAGTCAGCCTAGACGGTTGTTGATGAATGTCTGTAGTTTATTGGAAATGCCTTTCGTAACGCGCCAAGTCTCTCAACCATACAGGAGCACTGACTTGACGCTGGTGTTGAAAATCCGGATGTTGTTCACGCTTTATGCTGAGTGGAGTGCAGAAGATCTCCACACTGGTTTCAGGCTAATGAACACCTGTCTTGCTGTCTTTCCGATCCTGGTTGGCTTTGACATCCTCGTCTATGCCGCTGCCTGTAGTTGAAACGATGCTGCCTGGTCAGGTGTGTGAAAGAGGCTACTTCCTTTCTCCCGTTGATGATGATTAGAGTTTGTTGTTGTTGTTGTTTTTGTTGGTTGGGTATCTTCATCACCTCTACTGACCAATAATAAGCTGTTCACTATTTTTATTTCTTTGAATACCAATGTCTGGCTTTCAAAAATGATATCATCTGAAAGATTTTCCTCATACTTCCATCCTTCTTGGTACACTTATATCTCTCTGGTAATATCCGAAGATTTTACCTCAGTTTAGAGATGGCTCTTGGCATAAAAATATTTCAAATATTCTGCGGGATCGCAGCTATCTGTAACTGAAGAAACTCAGATTCTTGATTTCTTAGGATGGCTCTGTTTGCTGTTTCTAAAGTGGCGACTTATTTGGCATTTTAACCGTCGTCTGAAAAGTGGCTATAACCAGGTTTTCGACATATAGGATTCTACGCATCGAGAAAAACATTTACGAATGTAAAGTGTTCATGAAAGTTATTCTTTCTGCTGGAAATACACCTTTATGAAACAGATATAAATTTTCACTGCTTAAGGTTGACATTAATCCTTCCAAAATGTTCAGCTGATTTATGAAATCTTCAGGTGCATACTTTGAAGGCGTAAGGTATGTATGCATCAACACCTGATAGAGTACAACGCAGATAGGAATAAGGGTCTTACATTTTATAAATAGCTTACATTAATGCATGTAACCATTCACATAAAAACAACACAACATTCTGTCAGATAATGTTTCAAGTTAAGACACATCTCTAAACGTTTTGTTATTACTTGCATCATCCACACCTGACCGAACGAAATTGATTAGTATCTATTAGCGTATGGGCTGCTACGCTGATCCCTCTATACTACTTGTGCTTCAATTTCATATCAATGATGGACAGTGGCTAGCACAGGAATCTGTCATATTTGATACTCGTCAGCTGGATGTACCTTATCTGCCTCCCAGAGAGCGATGTTGTTCCTACTAGGTCACGAATCTGCAACCGATCGCTTCAAATGCCAGGGCGTTGTTTCCTGAGTCACTAGGTCACAATAGCTACTTGTGCAACGGGCATAGTTTATATGTTAATTGTATTATCCCGTCATTGATCAGCTTCTATTGGAATGTGAGTACCTGTTAAGATGCCCTATTATCCAGTATCTCTGAAATGCTGTAAAATTTCTTCAATTGGAGATGCGTCGTAATTATACCATAATCCATCATACCATGCATGAAACTAATCTTAAGACCTACATCATGGAGGGTATTACCATTCTAGAACACTTCTGTATGTTTTACACTCTGTTTTAATAATGAACTCAACTATAATTACTGTATTTTACAGCTATTCATTTGTAGTTTGTGATTTTGCACAGTATACAAATATTTTGGTCCATGCGGATTAAATGAAGACCCTGTGACTAAAAGCACATGAAACCCTCAGAACATTTATCTCAGTAGAAGAGATTTGATGATTTAGTTCGGATTAAATCATTTTGTGTGTTATCAAGCAGTTCGGAAAAATAAGTCCCCGAGAGATTGGGAGCTATAAGTTAATATTCTTTCTTTCATATCACACTTTCCTTGACCAAACCAGTTATTTTAACAAGAAAAGGTCAAATCGCATCTGTCTCATCAGGATCTCGCTGACAGTGAAGTACCGACAAAGGGTGACATTCAGCTCCAAACTGAACTGAAAGTCTCAAAATAAGACGTTAGTTGAAGTTTTATAGGACAACGAATTTTCGCTTCATGTTTTAATGTTTACCTTATAGACAACTTGAAGCATATTTTTAACAAGGTTCACTTGAATACGTTGATATGCAAATGCCTTCAGGCCTGTACGGATTGGTATGCGGATGTTTTTATCCACTAGCTCTGAGTAATGGATAAAATATAAGACAGTATTGTATCATAGTTTTACATGTGGGTTGATTTCCCATGTTCTGCTAGGGTATAACAGAAGTCTTACATTACGAGGAAGTATAAGACTGAAAATATTCCCTCACAGTTATTGACCACAGGAACGGAAGAAGGGAGAATAGACTTATGTCAATCTTTCGTTGACATGGAATCCCAACTAGGTACGTCATATAATTTGCAAGAACATTGCATCATATTCACCAATAAGGATATATCAATATATTCCTTCCCTAAGGACGTGTAGTCGCTTTCCTATACAGGTTTAAGTGTAGAAATGGTTATACACTTAATTTATTTCGCGAATGATACCAAAAAAAGAAATAATGAGCTAGGCAACGTTCATGTTGTTTCGTACAATATGGAATGCTTCTTACACCACGTATTTACCAAGTGAGGAGATTATCGCCTACGTGATTGATGACATTGTACAAAAGCTGTTCAACTTTCAGATGCAGTGAAGAAGAATGGTAAATAGTCTGTGACAACAGCCCTGGAACAGATGAAGACGTGGCGTACGCTCGGAAGTGAAAATGATTTTCTTTTTTCGGCACCGCATTACTCAACAAACTAATAACGCCAGCAACTGTGATTAGGTAAACAAATGGATTCACTGGAAAATGAGCGTAAATCTTTCAGAGGATCATTATATATTACAGCAGAAGTGAACGACGGTATGGCTGCAGAATTGAACACTGAGTAGTTGAGCGGCGGAGAACTGTGGAACACTTTATGGACTATAAAACACATCTATTTGAATGATGCAAATGAGATTAAGATTTGCATGGCCTGAAGATAAAGCTGTCAGCTTGTAAAATCTCTAGCTGAGTTCATACGTCGAATTGCATGATGTTTCGAAAGTTATTTCAGATAAAATGTCAAAAATACCTTATTATTCGCTTTTTCTAAGATATCTTTAGTGAAAATACGAACGTTGTTTCCGCTGGTATTTCTTAGGTAATAGGCATAATTCATTTGATAACATTGTGATTTAATCATGCTCAGTAAGTTGCTGAACGAACTTCAATCTGACTACATTTATTTGTGTAAAATATTCACTAAAACAATCATTTCATTTTAAAATTGAAAGTTAAATAACTTTATTTAACATATCTCCATGCCTTTTAAAAGAGCATGAGTAAATCACATGGAATCTAGTTATCGAAGACGAATAGAAATTTCCCTAAGCAACTACAGTTTAGTTTCATAAAATCAATATAACTCATCAAATCATAATTTTTCGACAGTGGCTGAAATCTTGTAAAGTGTAAACAGGAACCATGAAAGCTACATCGTCTCAGTAAGGGGTTTTCTATTGTCAAGTAAAATGCCCTACCGTTCTGCTGATGATGCAAAACGATCAGTCAGATGCTGAAAAAGTCCTTCTTTATCACTGACACTAACTGATTAGTTAAGTATATTATATGGGTTTTCAATCAAGATTCTGAAAAACGACTGAACTAGAAATGTTTGCAATTAGCGTTCAAAGAACCATCAGACAAATATATCTACTCGAGCGAAGATCTACAGTTGGCTGTAGATCGATGTTCGGAAGCACTTTTAGGGAAGCAGTTTAATCAAACATTGAAGTAATGTAGTGAAAAACGATTTCCAACTTATGTGGCCCAATAATTTTCAATCGATCATACCTCTAAAGTATTCACGAAATCGGATAAAATTCTTCCTTTACCAAAGGATTTTATTATCTAAGTATAACAAGAGTACCTGATTCACAGTTGTCCATGACAGTTACACCTTCCGTCACATGACCATGAAACTTGATGGCCAGGACATGTGCCTGTTGATGACTGTTCTGTTTTATTTAATGGATTTAGAGACTTCAGGTCAACAAATCAAAACTTTGGGACTGAGTGCAAGCGGACTAGAAGAATCAGTCTGTCTGCTATCTCTGGTTCCACCATATTGAAATTTAAGGGGAAGAAAGGCGAAAAATGCCACCCAGAACTCTTCGGTGTACAGTGGTTTACTAGTTGATATGAGCGTGTAATGAAAAATACTTTCAGGTTAACTAATTCACCACAACCCTATAAGGAATATATCAAATGTTCACAAATTCCACAGTAGTTCGCTGAATGCTTGCTACATGTTTAACTATTGTTTTACAGGAAATCCCGCTAAAAATCATCAGATGTACAAAATCAAGGTGCATTATATATTTGTCTGTACAATTAAATCAAACACAATCAGCTTTATAGAAAAACTCATTTTGTAAAAATGAGTCTGCGAAAAATAATTTCTCATTTGATTCAAAGTTGAGTGGTTTATTCCCTTTAGTTGAATCTTCTGTGTAGCTCTTGATTGTTTCAATGACCTCCCTATCATTTTCATCATAATGATGATCACCTGAACATTGAATGTCTGTTTGATTGTTAGAAGAACTGCACTGATTATTGATTCTATGGTTCACATCATTAGAGTTATTAAAATTACCCTCAGGGTTACCAAGGTTACTGTTATCAAGATGATGATCATCATCACATTGTGTAAATAATAATCTGTTTGTACCACAATCACATGTGTTGTTTATATTCAATGCTGCAGGACTTGATATATAAAACTTTCTATCTTCTCGTTTTAATGGACAGGAAGTTAGCGTACACAAGTTGGGTGATTGACACCTGAAATGGAGTAAAGGGTTTTGTTATAAATTAGGTGAGGCATAAAATATAAATTATTTGCACACAAGCTGTGATTTATTTTTTCTTTACCACTTAGTTTCATTTATGTCAATTCCCTTAATCTCTTAGTTGAAATCAGTTAAATTGTTTTGTCATAGTGCGCTATGGGTCAGTGTACCTTTCGCCTACGTCAGTTAGTGTCAAATGGAGTAGCTGTGACAGTTTCAAAATCCTGCTGCCTTGAGAAATTTATAGTATTCAGAAATCTATAACCAACATACACGTCCAGAACTCCACTACTTATACATAAACATATATTAGTAGTGGATAATGATTGAAGGTGGTATGAAAATTGGATCTGTGGTAGGATTCGAACTAACTGAGCTACAAGACGTGACTGCTTTAATCGCCAATTATTTTTCCCGACTTCTATGTGAATTCACGATCGTACTCACACTTTTGGCTCAGTCAGGACTTCGCATCCCAATCCAAATATGCTTGAAATTATTAAAATGAATTCTATACTGAATTAAACCCATTGTTTGGAATAAAGCAATTATTATTACCATTAGTACAATTATTATTAGAGGTTTTTTTATTATTAGACTGAACTCAGTCTTCACAAAAAAACTTCACCACAACTGAAGCATACTTCTCTCTTGTCATCCTCAGAAACCATATACATAGATGACCCCTCCCTTCACTTATTCAGCCAATTAGTTAATATCTTTTGCTTTGAAATATGAAAAATCCCTGGACCAGCAAACAGCTGATCACCATTAGCCCTATATATAGGCGACTTGTGAAATAATCATCCTGAAGTAAGTGGTCGATCTGATAAAATGATGCTTACCATTAGAACCCTAGCTACTTAGTAAGTTTTGAGAAAATTTACTCATGAGTTTATTTGAAAATTTATGCGATATAGGAGAATTCTAGCTGGTTAACTTGCTTCTTTCCAGTATGTTTCATGATCTTCATAGAATTATGAGCTTATTGTGTCCCTGGTACAGTAGTGAAAAGAACAAACTATTTGAATAATGATCAGTTCAAAAGTTTTTCGGCTAGCTTTTGGATAATTAGTCTTCAGATGTTTGACTCTTCAATCTGAATAAATCGAATGCAGCAAATTCTCAGCATTTCTGTTAAGTAACGTAGTTAGATACAGTGGAGTTATGTCCAATTCATAATTAAATCATACTGGAATTTACCTACGTATTCAAATGATAGTATGGAGAAAGATCAATAACCATAGTATCCACAGTGGCCTCAAATGTCAAACAGACTGCAGTTTAATACACACACCTTATTAAAATCCAGACGTTGAAATCTTTTCTCCAGGTTGTGTACATATTTAGGAATTAAAGATACAAGAGGTATAGAGGTTGTCTAAAAATGGTACTAAAACAGGGTACAGCCGCGCAGTACATGCTAATGATTAAAATGAGTAGTTTGAAATCATTTTGATCACTTAAAGATCTACTGAAGAATTTAGCTATATTAATGGAACCAATCCAGGTATACCCTCAGTGTCTTAGTTGCAAAGGACATAAGTCTTCATCAAGTGTGCAAATCAGTCTGTCCTGCTGAAAGATATAGCTGACTGATCTCACTGTGTTACAGCACAACCTTCATACTAAAATGAACTACGCTACGTAGGTACAAAGACAAGTTTCTATATAAAATTGATGGTTTGGAAGGAATTTATCAGCGCAGACATAGCTCTTGTAAACGTATTCCAAGTGAGGGAGTGTTATAAATTATTTTCTCACTGTACGATCTTTAAAAGGAAGATAAATTTTCTTATTAAAAGGAATAAGCGAAAAAATCGGGATTCCAAATGACACATTACAGATAATTTATTCAGTTCACACCCAAATCTGCCATCTGTTCTGGAATTAGATGTTCCAGTTCAGATACACCTTCTTGAAATACTGAGGTGCCTGGTCAGTAGTACGCAACACCTCATTATCACTTTGCCAGTTAAAACTCTTTATCCAGTTTCAGTTTTCACCGATCAATTTATATTATTTATCTGCTTTACAATAGACCACATTTACCAAAAAGTAAAGAGAAGACCTATAAAATGGCGCCATCCACTCCAGAATGTCATGAATTTGAAGTCAAATAATATGTAATTATATTAACTGGAAATCCAGTTTTCTGTAAGCCTACAAATGTATGCGACCGGTTAGAAGCAAATCCCTATCTGTAGAAAATTGAAGCATAAACTTGCGTTCTTTTTTATTCAGAAGGAAGAATGAGGTAAGGAAAGTCAAAATTAGCTTAACCACAAACGGTTAACAAGTATCTTTTAATGCAGAAAGAACATTGACTAATTGCGCTAAATGGATGAACCACTTGAAATTTTATTTTAGCTATTATCGTACAGGGAAAGGAAATCTTTTGTAAAGAGAATGCATAATTTCCAGTGTTTGAAACGGCGACACATTATCTCTCATTTTTTTTCCGGACAAGAATTAAGTAAATGAACTATAATATAATAGAGGTTATTGGATTTTATAATTTGTCTTTGTAAGCCATGACATTTTCCGCCAAATATTCCACAGTCAATTAATTGCATGTAGTTCTCTTCATTATTTTTTCCTTTGTTATGACAAAAAGGTGGTTGAGAGTATGCTGTCTTAAGCAAAGGAAGAAAGAATGTAAATGAATGTGAAAATCGACAGTGTCTATCCTTATATTTAGTTGTCAAGTAGCCGCTTTAGTAATAGTCTACTGGATACTGATTGGCATGTTTGCAAGAAAAGTCCATCTCGGTTGATCTTCGGGGTGAATTATTTCCGACTGCGTTGGCCAGCATTCATATTTCCCCTTTAGCTTTCTCTATGTACTATATAAGATTATTATTCTGGTTACTGTATTTGAAACTCTCTAGTTGGATATAGTTAAATCCGTCTTAGAGTTCCAACTCAAACTAAACTGGATAACCCATAGCTCACTCGTATCTTCTGCATCTTTCTAACCTTTCACATTCGCAAAGGGAATAAACAGTTATGTTACTTGCAAGAACCTGATTTGGTTTCCATGCTATTTTTCTTCCGGTTTCCTACACCAAAATGAGCAGAATGCCCCATTTTGACAAGTAGGACGGGACGTTACCCCGATGATTAACGTTCGGCATCAGAGTGGATCATCTCAACCTGAAAACAAGGAGGAAGTGTCTAGACTTCAGAATAAGCTAAAGGCAGTCTACATTATCATCTACTCTGAGATGAAATTACAGAAATTACCAGGAAGTGTCAGACAGGAGCATATAATCACATTTCATTGTAAAAGGCTGAAAAATATTATGGTAGCATTAAAAAATGTCAAGATGTAGAGTTTTATTTGTGTATTGCCATTTAAAATAAGTTCATTGTACTAAGCAGATGAGTATTCTTAAGTGTTATCTTTCTGAACGAGCCTTTTGATCAAGAGAAATGTCATAAAAGTCTCTCTTTAGCCTCCAACTAAATGTAAGGTTTAACCTTCAGTTAAACTCCCAGCTTTAAATATATGTAGATTTGTACAGATAACGACACCTTTTATAAATCAACGATTTTAGCTACATATGAGACAAAAACCTACTTATAAATGAAAATAGTACTCTCTATTTCAAAAGATTCAAACTTTTGGCTCCAAGTATACGGCTTTAGCAATCTGATGGGTAGATCACAATATCACTCCTAGTCTCAACATTTAGGAACTATTGATGTAAGCCTAATGAAAAGTGAAATGACTTCATGCTAATCAGTAGTTTAATACTCTTGTGACGTATGCCATCGAAGAATTTTTGGAAGATGTATACATGCATATCAGTAAACTCATTAGTTGTTTAACTTACCTGCTAGCTGATAAACTGTTGTTATTATTGTGATATTCCACGAAAGGAAATAGAGGGTTCATAACTCTGTCTTCATGAGGAGAGTCTAATGTCTGAGGAATACTAAATGTACCGTCTGTTGCGATTAGAGTGGAAGGAGTGATACAGTAGCTTTCTTTTGAAACAGTTAGGTCTGAAAAGTGCTCTTTAAGTGTTGTTGGTATTTGCTGATCATCTGAAGGTATAGTAGGATAGTCGATATTGTTGTACAACTTGTTTTCATCGGTGCTATTATTTTTATGAATAGCAGTAGTATTCATTACTATAGAAGAACCGGCTGTTGTTACTTTGCTCAGTTTAACTGAATTTTCCGTTTTATCTAACTCATCTAAAACAGTTATAGTTAGATCTACACCATCAGGATAGTGTCTAAACCAGTGCATTGCAGTCAGCTGATCCCAGCCATGTACGCACTGTCCATTTAATGAGACCACTTGTTGACCAGATCGTAATCCAACACGTGATGCTGGTGAGTTAGGTAGGACAACGTCGATTTGAAGTTCCTAAATAGATAAAAGCAAACAAATCTAGTTAAAAAGGTCATTAGACAAGTAAACATCAGGCTAAAAGATTCCAATTCATTTTCACTTGAAGAATAAATGATGGAATATGAAGATTGAATTCTCCAGAAGAGCTGCTTGCTATGGAACTATGGGCTCAGTATTCAACATTCTCACCCCCATACTAAAAAATTTCATTAATAAAGCTCAAGTCATTTGAAGGTACGAAATACTGAGCAATATCAAAATAAAACAGAACTATTTGATTCCTTATTGTTTTCAAGGGATTTCTAAGTACAGTGAGCCTCGTACTGGAAATGATGCTTTTCTTCAACCTTCAATCTATTCAATGATTATTTTTATAAGTATGGTGCGAACTATGGTGGGTCAGAAATACTTCTGTTTATTTGGCTATTTGCTGGCAATCAAACTGTGAGATTAAGACTGAAATACAATAGTCTGGATTGGTCAGAAATGTCTGTGTGAAATGTTTGACTACAAACAGATTACTGATTCAGTTACTATGTCTAGGAACGGCACTTAACTTTAAAATCTATCAGTAACTTAACCAGAATTCTAGCGAGATGGAAATTAGCAATGAAAGCCATGTTGAACTGTTGAATTCAGCAGATGGGAAGATGTGTAGCTGGTTTAATCGCTTCTTTGCATCCATAATAACGAAGGTAAGTGTTATACTGCGAGGGAATCCATTCTTAACTACAGACTCAAACTTTCATTGCTTTAATAAGCTACCACAACTGGCTGTCGTATAAATATCTATCAACTAGATGGCTCTAAGTAAAGAACTTGAATCCCACAACAAAGTGCAAGCTTCTAAGTAATTTCCTTCTCCCTTTAAACCAAATAACTGCTAACTATCGTAATTTCCGCCTCACAGCTGCACCTAATTCTTAACGGACTTAATGCTAAACTATGTGTTACGTTTTCAGGCTATTTATTCATTATTCTTTTTCAAGGGAGCCAAAATTCATGAGCGTACTCGTAAACACCACAGGAATTTGTTTACTTACATTCTTGTTCTTAAAGAATACTCGCAAAACAGCTTGCGGACGTTCATGGAGTTAACAATTTAAGGATAATAAAATACACAACATTCGCGCTATACCTAGTCTCCGGAAGTCAGTGTGCGATAATAGATGGTCATGAGGGAAATTTCAATAAATTTTAAAAAATAATGGGTAAAACATCCAGTGATATTGTCGTCAGCTGTTGACTAAAGACGTTAAATTTTTAAATCACTCTTCTGTTTTAAAAAGCCAGAAGGCAATAACTCGAACAGTCATTGCAAGTGAAGAAGTGATAAATGAAAGGTTGCTTCAAATAAATATGTCATGAGTTATGTACAGACCAACTGAATAAGCACTGCTACATCTAATTTTGCGAAATTGTCATTCAATGAAACCATTTACATTTTTTCGTCGGCTATAGTCTTCGTCTTCTCCTTTAAGTATGTTATAGTATGCGTGAAAGTATTATTTTACATGCTCATCACTAAACAATTTCTAGTCTCAACATTTTAGTGTTATCTAGGAGCAGACTAAGAAGAAATATGTATTTAGGTGTAAAAATAAAAAAATCTCAAGACAACGTTAAGAACTTAGTTTTAAGAGTCAAATAAGCGGAGTTTACTGCATTGTTATCCTTCCATGAAGCTTGAAATCTTCTTGGGTTGTAAATGATCGGCGTGTTCTATGAAAAAGTTATGCGGTTGACAAATCCTAATCTTCTAACCGATGCACACTTTAAAACCCATTCCATTACTAGCAAATCACTGGCCAGAATCGAAAAACAAAAATGACAGCTTAGTAGTAATAAAAATGACTTCATTGACAGGCATCCAAGATAAACAGTAAGACAAAGAAAGAATTTGTAGCAAATATGTCGGACAACTGACCTTACTTTTTCTTTTGCCTTCGGTATTGCACAAACAACAGCCGTTAAACTTACAAATCCTCATCCAATTCAATATGAAGTTTTCAGAGTTTCCGCTCATATTGCAGCCAATAGTGTACGATGAAGCGAGCGGTAACTGGTTATGCATAAGGAATGGTTAAAATAATACCAATCAGTTTTTTACTTGAACAAGTAGGATTATCGTTTGGTATCAAGCTGTTTTAGCCGCAACTATAGGCTACTAGCAGTTGTTTTATTGAATACAGCATTGCTACCTACATACATCTGACTGAAACCGGAGCAAGTCATCTCAGTCTTCATTACTTATCACTGGTCCTCAAATGAAGGTTTTCATTAGATGATAGTAGAAAAAACCTTTTACTTTCCCTTTAAGTAGAAGTTGTTTCTTCCCAAACTAAAAAGCATCCCAGACAATTTAAAAATATATTACTCATGTAAACTGGCAATACAAGTGATATCATTGAGTCAACGATCTGAGTTAAAACCATCTGAGCTATATGTGACGACGAGTTGAATAGATTTATAAGCAAGTTCTTAATTATAATGAGTATGGTTTAGCTTATAGATCACTTCTGAGGACAGCATGCTTTCCGTCCGACTAACCGCTCAGAAAAATCAACAAGAAAAATAAGTATTGATATTTTTTTACTGTAGGGGATTTCATCTTTCATCTTGAAGTACTCACAAGAATTCAACTCACTTTACAAGCTTTATTTTGTGCGGTAGTTATCTATGTCATTCGACATTAAAAACAGTTAAGCTATGTAACTTTCAAAGGACTTTTTATCAATTACTGGGAACAATGGTGGCTTTGGTTCCTATAATTAGTGAGAATTTAGCCTTACTTTCACGCAGATAAGTTAGTTCTGAGTTAAATTACTGGATTAACTCTTAAAAATGCCAGGAATACAAATTATTTTACAGCATCAACAGAAATACATGTCAATTTTGAAATCAATACCTCTGTGAGTTCATTACAATGTGACTACCTCTGCATGAAGATAGATAAGTCTTGTTCGTTAACTCATTGCTTCATTTTACGGATATGTTGCTGTATACGTGAAATGTGATAAAATTGTGCCTAGCATATTGCTAATAACAATATTTTTATCATGAGAAACAAAAGCTGAATCACACGTTTTATTCAAACTTTTCATTCACCATAGAATAAAACATGACACTACTATAAAGTACATCTAAAGAGGAAATAAAAGCTTATTTCTTCTTTCATATTAGCTGATAAAACAGACATCATGAGGTGTATTTTAGAAGATAAATCTACCTTCAATACCAAAGTACTCCAGAGGACAGTCTATGATTGATGAACGCTACAAAAGAAAACTGTATGTAAGTAGTTGAAAGATTTTTCCTGTTTAGTCTAGCTAGTTTGTCAATTTAGTACTCCTGTGTTAAGAAAATTTAGGCATTTAATGATATATTTAGAGTTAGAAAAGTTGACTTCAGACTCATGCAACGTTGCCAAGCAAAAACTCTTTGATATTCTTTCAGTTTGGATATCAGTGCTCAGAGAGCGCCAAACCACCATCAACCCTATCCTGAGGTACAAATCTTTTCAATCATTTCAGTGAACCAATGTTACTCAAAATCGATGTTGTCACTGTTAGCAAGGAGCTGTTGTGTCAGAAGTTAGTCTTCCACACTTTCGAAATTCCCCTTTTTAGCAATATAGACAATTTACTGTAAATCTCCAGAGGTGATGCTAAAATGCTGCGGCTCTCTACCCAATCTATTTAGATTTTCCATTAGGAATGATAATCAGCATTTCCTGGTTATTGGAATCATTTCACACGATTTACTGCTTGGTAAAAATTTCATTCGGATATTTTTTCACTTTATTTTACAGACTATAAATAAACACTAGAAGTCAGTAGCCCTTTTTTATATTCAGCGTGAAAATGACTGGTTAGTTCGAAGAATCATAGTAGGCCGCTTTGATAGGATTCTCGACAAGCAAAGTAACAGGATAAGCCTTTTTTCTGAAAACAGTCAAAAACAGTTTTTGAAAATTTCCCAATACTGATGGCTATTAATTTATTTCATACTATTCTGTCGTGATTATATTTGTTATTTATTAATATATGTTCCCCTTCAAATATTTCATAATATTCGTCGTCTTATATTTCCAGAAGTACCGTTTACTTATTTCTGAGCATAGTATAGTCTTACTTTTTGGATCCAGTTTTACTCCTCTTGCTGTTAAGTGATTAAAAATGGTGTTTCTCTGAAGCGATGTGTTTTTGATCTACTTTCTATAATGTACCAGTAATTCACCGATAGATTTGAATAACCTAGGACTGTAGCTTTGAATTGAACTACCCAAAAGTCTTGGAGTTTCCTATTTTGAGTAATTCTATATAGTTACATTGGCATCACATTAGTCAACTAATGTCATATACAAAAACAACTTACTTGGACCTCATGAAGTGATTACCTTTTCTTCTTACTGGCGGCTACTTTGACTACATCTTCATGTAAGTGAAAATCAACTTCCGTCAACATCTTACACACTACTTAAATGGGCACCATTCACCAACTAAGTTATTTCCCTTCAGTATCTGTACAGTGCATGACTAGGAGCAAAAGGCGGACCCATTCATAAACTGAATTGGTATTTGGTGAAAATAGACTTTCATCTGGCAGCAATGAACTCTGTGTTTACATTCATATTGAAAATTACTCAATGAATGCCGGATTCGTGAATTATATAGTGCTACATAGTTCAAAATGTTCCTTTATAAAAAGGTTATGAAAAAAAAGGGATCCGTACAAAAGTGACGTAATGTCTTGAATATAATCATGATTTTTATTGAGATACTGTGTTATGCACATCGCTTCACTTATTACATGATGCCTACGATTTTTTATTCCATGCATTGGTCAACAGATTCGGTTTTAGGAACATAAAACAAGTACTTTGAACACGTGCTGATAACGTCCTGGTGCATGGTTGATCATGGTCCTTCAGAATAAATTTACTGAAGTTATTTCACCGTTATATCCAAAGAGTGATTAAGGCAGAAAGGGTAAGGTCAATAAACTAGCTGTACAGAAATTGTACTGAATGCTATACTTTCTGAAGTCAATATGAATGGCCGTTGGAAGGTTCCACGTTTAAGTTACCTTGAATTATATCAGCCACTTTTTTCCGAAATATTTATTGTGCAATAAAGTATTTTACACATGTTAGGAGAAAAGTTTCAGGTTTAACTTTTTTGTGCAATAAACTATAAAGTCATTGTAGCACTCCTGTGTGTGCTTACAGTCACGTAATTAGAACAGTTAGTGTTTCAAGTGTAAGCATTGAAATTTCGACACCAGTTGAAGGACACGATATATATATATATATATATATATATATATATATATATATATACGATTTTGTCTTTTCCTATTTAACACCACAGGGTTTAACAGTGAGTGAATGTAGGCATAACTACAAATGCTTGAAGTTTACGGTCATATGGACTGTTGTTCATCGCACCTTGAGTGAAAATGACCAAAAATGAACTTTATTAGGCTCACCTTAAAATATTTAAAAATAAAATAACCGTATCTGGTTTATAAATAAGATCAGTAAAAAAAACCCGTAGACCAGGTCATATTATTGACCGAATTATAGATGAATTGCTGAAATTTTCAACGACTTTATCATGATGTCTGGGATCAACACAGTTGAAAGTCAAGACGCTATACCCTTTGATGAGAAACAAGCTACGTCCTCATTTCTAAACTGTTGGCTGATTGGAAGCATGCTGTGTGATAGACATTGATATTTTAGGACAAGGGTGTCATATAATATCAAAAGCGTTTTCAAGTGCTATCTAGGTTACAATGACTAAGCAGCTGATGATAACAGTTTATAAAGCTGTATTCATCGCAGCTTGTACCTCATAAACCATTGAAGTCTATTGACTCTAAAAGCCATAGCTTGAGTAACAATCAATAACAAGAAGTGAAGCTTCCAAAAGGAAAAATATAACAGAATGACACTCCTGATGGATGATATTCAGTTAATTATTCTGTTACTGTATGACAGTTCGAAATATGAAGCTCTAAAAGAGGTATCATTTTATGGAGTAAAATGAACAAGCTTTTCTTTTTTATGAGAGGGAAGTATTTAAAAGTAGCTTTCACGCATCATTCCAGTTAACTAACCGGATTTGTGCTGAAAAGAAACGAGCTGAAAACAAACAAACAAGCGATGGTTCTTATCAAGTACTAGGTACTGAACAAAATCTGTCCATTAAAAGTGGAATATTGGCACAGAGCTGAGTGAAACAGCACTGTCAAACTTATGCTGACCCTATTCAGTGCTATTTGTTCTAGGTTGTTATTAACTCCCTCATAGAGGTTTTGCATTGTCAGAACTCATTACCATAGGATTTTCCCATCTTTCAGAAAATCTATGTATGACTTTAGATTTCAAAAACTGTCATACACTGTCGAATGAATACCTTTATCACAGAGTTGCTGCCCTCCCAGTCGTCTAGTTTCAGCATTGAGCTATTCAAAGAATCGGTTAATTACAAAGTACTTTTCAGAGATGTACCTTCAAGTAGCGTGATTCGATGACGAGGTTAATGATTATGTCTTTGGTGAGGGTTCTAGGGCCATCCGGCCTACATAATTTATCAAATATAGAACTTCAATCCGCTTGAGGTTGACATCACTGAAACGGTTAAATCTGAATCATTTGTTATGTGACTTGTGGTATTTTCTAGGTAAGACATAACCTTAAAATAATAACTTTTGTTCTTTTCGCTTCAGAATGTTTCCTGTGAAAAACCGCTCTTATACTAACAAGTATTCGAAAAAACGTTTCAGTCGTACTTAACTTTAAAATCAAATCACGTTAATTAATACACTTAATTAATGTCAGATTTCCTGCGTGATCAGTAAAATGTTTCCATGTTAGATTAGTCTGTTTGAAATAGTACACAGTATTTATAAAACAGTGCTCATATTGACACTTCAATCTTTTCCCCCTGTGAAACAGAGTATTTATAGAACTAATCTATTTCACATACCTTTTGTAATGATACTTGTAATTTCCCGTTGCTATACAGGGCCAAATTTCTCGACCTCTGTTGGCAGATAAGCTCCTATGCGGATGCCTCAATACTGCTGGATATAGATGATGTTAAATTGATCTTGGTGACTAGCAGAGGAATCAGCGTAAGACACAGCTTTGTTCATTCCTCTTTTAGAAGAACACAGTGAAATACATTCTACATTTTTCTGAACATTTTCTTGTACAGTCTTTGATTGTATAGCTGGTGCATCTCTGTCATCGGCTGAACCAAACTGATCAGTTACTGGTGGCACATGGACTCCTTTGAGAATGCCTCGATATTGAGTGGACGATCATTTCGGTTCAATTGATGATGGAGATGCACAAGCTATGTCATCAGAGACTATAATGCACCGTCGTGCAAGGAGCGCCTATCATGAATCACTGGACTAGTGGATAATGATCTGGCGGCTGAAGCGATTGACCTGTGGTTCTAGTCCTACTGGAAATAAAATCATCTACTGTAAGGTGGGTGCATCTAGCTGACGAGTCTCAAACAAGGCGAAATCTGCGTCTTGGATTCCGCTGTTAGCCAATATCCACCAATGATATCAAATTCTCGTACATTCTAAATATAACATAAATTAGCTTTACGTATATGAAGGTTGAATTCAATTCTTACACTAGGTCTATTCCGTATTATGGAATCAAAAATAAGAACAGGCACTGCAAATCTGTGCAAAGTTAGCCATAGTCACTTGCTAAATACCAATTTACTTCAAACCCTTCAAATATTGCGCACTGAAACAAACTGTTACACCTCATTTTTATGATTGCTGACGCCTACTGATTAATGTCTTGTATATTTGTTGGTACTATCTGCGATGGTCTGGGTTTGGTAGACTGATATGATTGCTAGTGGGTGAAGATGGTAGGTGAGATGAAAATCTGGGTGACGTAAGGACTCGACCCAGTGGCCTATGACTTACCATCCTAACGCTTTGTTGAGTGACTCAATTTTAAGTTCATTTCAATCGCCAAGGGTTTCTCCTAGTCATAAATTTTCAATGGAGTTGTAATCAAAAATATCTATACCTGCATTAATTGCACGAATTGAACAAAATCCTGCAGAACGAAACTGCTATTCAATTATTAGTCCTGAGTGCATTCAATTTCATGTAGGTACTAGTTGTGCGTGTCTCTGAATAGGAAATTTCTTGTCTGAAGTTAGATGTTATTGAGTCTGTATCAAAATATGCATTCTTCAAAATTATCTTCGTCTCATTGTCACCCAGATGTTGACGTTTTGAGATGTTTAAGACTGACGTTAGCAGTCTTTTGGTGTGACTCTAAAGGCCACCCTCGAAACCTCTGAAATAACCAATCAGGTTTCTTTATTCCGGTTAGAAAGGTAGTTTTTCATAAAATAGAGGAGCCTAACTGGTTACTTCATCAGTGGCCCTTAAACGCACTCGTTTTTTGGAAGTCTGGCTGCCGTTATGCATTCTAACAGGTCGGCAAGAGAACACGGACACAGACAACTTTTAGGTGAGAACCACACTGGCACTGAAATAATCCAAAGCTTAGTTTACCCAGTTAGCTACATTGACAACTCCTATTCCATTGGCTTAACCTCGCCTGGGAGATATCAAACAGCATCCCTGAAGAAACCTGAGTGGAAGAACACTGGAAGTCTTTGAAAGCTATGTGGAAAGAAACCTGCACAGACGTATTAGGAAGAAGAAGAAAGAAGATAAGGAATGGAATGGATCCCGACGGATACCTGGAAGCTGATAGAGGAGAGGAGGATGGTGAAGCAAAAGATAAACCAGTGCAAGGATGCTCAACGACAAGAGGAACTGAGTACAATGTACAAAACACAGCATTGTACAAAGAAGTGAAGAAGAGTGCATGCAAAGACATAAGACACTTCCACGACACACTGGCAAGTGAAGCAGAACAGGCTGCAGGTAGGCGAGAAAGAGACCTGACAACATTGTATCAAACAACCAGGTTACTATCTGGTATGGAAGAGATCAACTCACATGAAACGAATAAAAGATGATGAAGGAAATATAATTACTAAAGAAGAGAAACGAAAGAAACGATGGGCCGACCACTTGAAAAAGCTCTTGAATCGACCACCACCACCACCTGCACTTCGTCCAGAAATACCACCTGAAGCCCAGCCTCATAACTACCAGTGAGCACAAATCCTCCAACAAAAGTTGAAGTCCTGAGCGCCATAAAGCTTCTCAAATGCAGGAAATCAGCTGGACCAGATGGAATCCCGCCAGAAGCACTGAGAGCAGACGCAGAGACAACAGAGGACATGCTCACACCACTATTGCCGAAGGTTTGTAAGGAAGAAGGGAAAGGTACCTGGCTAGTGATTGGAAGAAGGGCTACCTTGTCAAACTCCCAAAGAAGGGAGACCTAAGCCTTTGCAAGAACTGATGAGGAAACATGCTGCTGCCTATGTCCACTCCAAGCAAAATATTAAGCCGCATCATCCTGGAGAGACTGGAAGATGCTCTGGATTTAAAACTACGACCAGAACAGGCTGGCTGACTGACTGACTGGCTTCAGGAAGAACAAATCATGTGTGGATCAAATTGCAACGCTACGCTACGTATCATCATTGAACGGAGCATAGAATGGCATTCAACTCTCTACCTCAACTTCATCCACTTTGAAAAGGTCTTCGACAGTGTCGACCAACAAGTAATTTGGCAGTTGCTTCAACACTACGGAATACCGAAAACCTTTATCAGTCTCATTCAACAACTATACGAATACGCCACATGCCTAGTAATTCACAATGGGAAGCTCAGTGATGCTTTTGAAGTGAAGACAGAAGTACGACAAGGCTGTCTACTATCACCTATGATATTCTGATTGTGGTCGACTAGACTGGATCATGCAACAAACAGTAAGGAGCTGTGAGAAGAGATGGATATGCTGGATCGTGGAAAAGAACCTAGAAGACTTGGATTTCGCCGATGACTTGTGTCTGATGTCACACAAACTTGAAGATCTACAGGCGAAAGCTAACAAGTTGACAGAAGAGGAGAGGCAGGGCAGCGAAGACGGGACTTCGAGTGAACATAGAGAAGACGGAGGTAATAAAGATACCCAACCAACAACAACAACAAACTCCAATCACCATCAACGAGAGAAACTTAAAGGAAGTAGCAGCATCGTTTCAACTACAGGCAGCGGCACAGATGAGGATGTCAAAGCCAACCAGGATCGGAAAGACAGCAAGACAGGTGTTCATTAGCCTGAAACCAGTGTGGAGATCTTCTGCACTCCACTCAGCATAAAGCGTGAACAACATCCGGATTTTCAACACCAGCGTCAAGTCAGTGCTCCTGTATGGTTGAGAGACTTGGCGCGTTACGAAAGGCATTTCCAATAAACTACAGACATTCATCAACAACCGTCTAGGCTGACTCGTTACTGAAGCTCATATGGTCAGAAAGAATAAGCAACAAGGAGCTGTGGGAACGAACCAACGAAGCGAGAAGCTATTGCTGAATAAATATGCATTGGAAGGAAGTGTAGATGGAATGGGCATACTCTGAGAAGGCCGATTGGTGACGTCATACGCGAGACCAGGCACTCGAGTGGAACCCTGATGCGAAGCGACGAGTTGTGCGTCGGAGACGAGGGTGACATGGAGGAGATGGTGCGAGGAGGAAATGAGAGGTTGTGTTCAGTCATGGAGCCAGGTTCAAAAGATTGCGGAGAAGAGAGTGGAATGGAGACGTGCTACTGAAGCGCTTTATGTTCCAGTAGGAAAGCAAAGGATAAATAACAATAATAATTCCCTTGGCTTTAGATGCATACCAAGTAGTTTGACGTACTTGATCTAGGATCTGTACTGTCTTCAGGATAAAAGCAGTGATGTG